ATTTCTTCATCTTCAAAATGAGGAAGTTGGAGCAGAGGGCCTACAGTGGGCTTCCAGCTCTGTCCAGTGCCAGGACTCTGGGTCCAACTGTCACCTCCCCAGCCCCCACATGCTCCTGCCCCACCTTGTCCAGAAGGCTTTGCTCTGCTGTAAAATGTGGCGAGAGAGTGTTTTGTGTCCTAGGGACCCAGCAGAGGGTGGATTCCAGGGGAGTCACATAAGAAATGCTTGCTGATGGCTTGGCCTGCTATATTTACACGGCTTCCTTTCCTTTCTCAACTCTCCTCCGGAAGACTCTGTAGATAAGCGGATGGGACCTGATAATGGCCTCCAGACTCCTTAAGACCACCACACTTCCTGCAAGCCCTGGTCTTCTGTCAGAAGGGAAGCTCAGGTTTAGGGGTGACTTTTTTTTGAGAAGTGGGGAGAGGGAGCCACATAGATCACCCACCAACAGGACAAAGGGGGGTAGTATTAAGAGAATATCATATATATTGGCAGATGCAGCCTATCAAATTCTTCGCTCTTTTTTCTTTTCACAAGAAGTTTCATTCCGGGGGGGAGGGGAGAATGTGATATAAAGACAGAAGACATGAACAAACTACTAATAAATAGAGGCAAAAAATAATTGTAAGGGTAACTCGATGAGAAATGTTTCCTTTTAAGAAAGCATCCTGAAACAAATACCTTTCCTAGGAGAACTTTTTGGAGTCCCCTGTAAGGCTAAATGTCAACAAGACTTTAGAGTGAGTTTACATCTCTACCTAGACAAAGGCTCAGACTCATAAATAAAGGAAATGTTTTTAGAAGGAAGGAAGGAATGGAGAAGTAGGAAGGAAGAAACAAAAGGAAAGGAGGGAGGGAAGGAAGAAAAGAACAGAGGGGAGGAGGGAAGGAAGGAAATGAAAGGAGAGAAGAGTGGGAAGGGAGGGGAGGAGGGAATGGAAGGAAAGGAGGAGCTTCAGCAAAACCATCTGGACAAGGTGGGGCAGGAGCACGTGGGGCAGGGAGGTGACAGTCAGGCCCAGAGTCTGGCACTGGACAGAGCTGGAAGCCCACTGGAGGCCCTCTGCTCCACCTCCCATTTTACTGATGAATAAAGAGAGGGCCCAAGAACTGCCCGAGATAACTCGGTGAATAAGTGGCAGAGCTAGGATTTCTGGCTAGGCCTTCTAACTCTGGGAAGGAAAGGAGGAGGGAAGGTGAAGTTTAAATTCAGGTCTTCCTAAGTCTAGCATGCTGTGCACTGTGACGCCCCCCTCGCCACCTTCTCTAAGTCTCACTATTGGAATGAAGAAGGAAGAGACATTCCTAGTTCGTTGGTTCTGGCTTTGCCATTCTAGGTCCCATTTGGATCTGGAGCATCCCCTGCTTTGTTCTCATTCAGCTTTCCTTCCATATTTAGGGCAGGTTCTACTGAGTGACTTGAGGCAGGAATAGATGAGAAGATATAAAATTTGCTATGTGGTCAAATAATTTTGTAGTGCTCAGGATAAGTATCTGCAGAAAAATCGCCATGAAAAGAATTGCAGCTCACGTGTCAACATGTCTTGTAGAGGGTGAAGAGACGGACCACTTTTATGACAATCTGAATGAGTCCTTCCAAATTGCATCAGCATATATTTTGTTGCTTGGGGACCTCAGTCTGAAGGTGGGAATAGGTAAGAATAGAGAAAAGTATTTTTTAAAATGTATCAAGAATAAGAAAGGAGAGAGGCGCCAGACCTTTGTAGGGGTGAGACTTCTGTGTAGTCACATCTTCATGAATACTCAAAAAGAGAATTGAAAGACACTGGACATGTTTAGTACCAAATGAAGTCACAAAAATGACGTTACTCATTGACATGGAAGCCATTCTAGAATTAGCTTTCTGAGTACAATCACGCCACTGACTTGTTATAGAACAAATATCAAAATCAGTACAAACCTGGAGAGAGAATACTAATAAAAAAAGATAAGGCATGCAGTTAAAACAACTTTAGCCTGACATGTTTACACAGTGTTAATGCTTTTAAAATGATAGTGTCAGAAAAAGTTCACAGACACTGATTACAAAAATTTCATATAGAAGATTGATTAATATAAACAATTGTCATAAGGGAGAAACTAAGAAAACCTAAAACCTATTTTAGCAAATACTTGCTTTATTTTCCAAGCAGAGAGATTTGGCAGCCAAGGACACTGCCAGTTTAGAATTTGATCTCACTGGTAAAAATATTGCAGAGAAGGAAAATGGAAGATTATGAGCAGTTATTGAGTCATTTCAGTTGTCTCTGACTCTTTGTGACCCCATTTAGGGTTTTCTTGGCAGAGATACTGGAATGGTTTGCCATTTCTTTCTCCAGCTTATTTTACCGATGAGGAAACTGAGGAAAACAGGGTTAAGTGACTTGCCCAGGGTCACACAGCTAGTAAGTGTCTGAGGCCAGATTTTAACTCGGGTCTTCTGACTCCAGACCCAGTCTCTATCTGCTGAGCCACCACATAAAACAGGAACAATGAAGAGGAAAACCAGTTTAAAGAAAGGTTGCTCAGAGCCCCAGCCAAGTAAAGTCATCCTAAACATGCTTAAGGATGAAAAGAGAAGACAGCAGACAGAAAATATGGAAAAGATCTTCAAAGATGTTTGTAACTGTAGTCACTGCCAAGGACAATGGAGGCATGGCACTTGGACTCTAGCATCCCACTCCTGAACTTGCTTATGGAGGAGGTAAAAATGTCAGTGAATGAACGGAGATGGGAGCTGGAGCTGGAATGAGCCAGGTGGATACAGAGGAGAGCCATGCTGGAGGGCACTGAGGGATAAAGTCACAGGAGAGATAGATTTAGGCGTGACATTTTAGCAATTAGAGCTATCTCAAAGTGGCATTTGCTGAGTTCTCTCACCCTGTAAAGGTTTTCAAGCTGAAAATTCTGTTACAGATAGGGTTACTGTTATCTTATGGTTCGGCCCAGATGCCTTCTGGGGTATCTTTGCACCTAGAGATTGTATGATTCTCTGATGCTCACTTTGTTCACCTTAGTAAAAGAACACTTTGCCAGGTGCTATCGAGGAATGGACTTAGTTGGATTAGACAGACATGCCCGAATTTAGACACTCACCTGAGTGCTGTCCTTAGAAGGTGTGCATGTCACAAGACCCAGCTTGGAGTTCTTCTTTTAATATGTCTTCAGATTCTGTTTATCTGCCGTCTGATTTTTTAGCCTTTTCTGACCTAACAAGCATTCCTGAATTTGCTGCCTTATTCACCCATTCTCCAAATGCCCTTTGGACCTTTTCCAAACAGCAGTCCACTCTCAGAAGAGCAATGTTTACTTCCATTGAGACTAAAGGATGTATCACAGTCTCTAAAAAAAGCACTTGGAAAAGGATGACACTTACTGGACTGTAGGGAGTATTTTTGTCTAGAAAACAGCCTTATTTCCCTCATTATTACCTCATTTGTGACCCTGGAGTCAAGGGGCCTTGTACAAATGAGCAAGAAGGGGTAGACGTTTCTCTTGTTGATAGATCGTGGGGTGGGGCTTTCTGGGAGGCAGGATTGCTAGGACTTTTTGTACAATAAATTGTCTTGGAGGAGTTTGAGATAAAGCTACCTGAGTAATGGAGCTGGACCTTGGAAAAGGTGAGTGTTTACTCTCTTGAGTGAACTGTATTTGGGAGAAGTAGCCCTACAAAAGCCACTGAGAATAGTCTAGAGTATTAAAAATGGTGTTGGGGGCCCTGGACAGAAGCCATCCTCGGAACTGCTGGGACTGAGAAATAGAAGGTGCCAGTCAGTCCCCTTCACAACAGCAGATTTTTGAACAGAATCACAGCCTTTTTATGGCTGGACATAACTATCAAGAGGCTTCTGTATGTGCAGTGCCATTTTTTAGAATCCAAGAATAGGAGAGTTCTAAATGGTCCACAGTGGTCAGGACTTGGAAGTAAGCAGTGAGATATCCATATCAATAGGTAAAATGTATAGAGCTCCTACTGAGGACAAGTTACTGTGTTAGGTGAGCGGGAGACTAAAAAAGTATTTTCTGTCTAGATGAGTCCCTTCTGTGACTGGGCCAGGAGTGCTAGACAGAACTCCTGATGATCTGAAAATGGAGATCCTGCTTTTTGGACTTGTGCTTCCTTGTCTGTGATAGCCACATTGAACTTTCACGGAAGCAGTCTGGGCCCACGTATGCCCACTGAGCCACAAGGACTGGAACAGCACTGCTTTAAAATAACCTTGTGTGGCACAAATCTTACTGCCAAACTGGGCCTGGCGACTCGGACTCCTGAAGAACAGCTGAGCTCTCTCCTGTTCCTGCCACTTAAGTCTGAGGCCGTAATTTCTTACTAGCTTTTTCTTCCCTCCTGGCATTCTCCTTAGATTCTGACTTCATCCCACTTCCTCAGGAGAGTTCCTGTGGCTTCTGGAGATGGGGGCGGGAGCCCTAACCTAAGAATAATGGAACTGCCTCCAACAGCCCAGGCTGCTGAATGAAGGCATTTTCAGTTTGGTCTTGGAAGAACTGACATTTTGTCCCTTCCTTACTCACACCCTTTGGATTCTCATAACTAGTTTCGTTAATATCCATTCAGGCCTCATTTAGCAGAGCCCCACATAATGCCAAACTCTTTGATTATTTCCTTGAGAATTTCTGCAGTTTCATCGACCCTGATATTCCTTCTTCAGAGAATGTCATGGAGCGCAAGTGACCTCCCCAGAGTCACGCAGCTGTCTCCAAGGCCAGCCCTCTCCACTATGGCTTATGGCTTCTCTGTAGAGTGGCAGGCATTTATTCCAGTATCTCTTATTGAACTAAAAATGCTACTGTAAGAAGAAAAGGTCCGTGTCAGCCACCTTTGTTCTTGGTCTTTCTTCTGTCAGCTTACAGTGGGGATAATGATGGGGATGATGTTTTGGGGAAGTCACAGAGGGCTTGAATGCATGAGTGGCTGGAGTTGTGATCCTGAATAATAATAGAGTAACTGGGTGGCCTCCTTCCCCATTTTGAAGGATCTATGAACAGCTTCCTGAAGTGAGGAAGAAGCGAGAAGAAGAGCAGAGAAAATCAGCCTATACGATGTACCGGTGTAAGGCCCAGCTCTACAAAACGGTGAGTCCGTTGCCAAAGCTGGAATGACCCACTTTGTCACCGTAGTCACACCAAGCAGACTTGTCAGAATTGAGGATTCAGAGTCAGGCCCTAAAGCATCTAGAGTACTGAGAAGGGAGCAACTAGAGGTGGGGAAGTGGGGAAGGGTGTGGGGTTGTTGGTCTTGCACTGGGCTCCTGCCAAAGTTTAGGAGGGAGGGCCTTGGCGCACAGGGCTAGGCCTCATGTAGCTGACCTACTTTTAGCCCTAATGGTCTGTGACAACTTAGTTTATTAATGTGGAATGATATCGAATGACATGGCTGTCTGGGAATTCCCAAATCTTATCTGTGGGCTTCCCTGCATTACCAGATCTTAAAATCAAACCCTCTACCAGAATATGGAAGATGTTTGGCTTTGCACATTGTGGGTAGCATCCTAATAGAAGGAGGCTAATCAGTGATTCCCTGAGCATCTCCTATGCTGTTGGGCCGTGGGGTCATGACAGATGAAGTGCTTTCCTCCTAAGGGGCTTACATGAAGGCCCACATCTGTTTATCTACACCAAGGAATGGGTGGCCTTCTAGGCCTTAGAACAGGTTATTGAGTCTGCCTGCCTCCTTCTACAGAGGAGGACACTCAGGTCCCAAGGGGTGGTGGAATCTACTTAAGGCCAATGGGCAGTTGAACAAACCTGGGATTCATCCTCGGACTCTGGGGCATTTTTTATGACCCCACCCAGCTCTGTTCTGTGGAAGGGGAGGCTTGCAAAATGTGGGAGTGATAAGGCCAGCACCCAGCCCGATGGGACAGGAAGTCCTAGAGTTCCAAAGGATATCCAATGAGAAGGACACGTGGGCATGTTTGTAGGCAGTAGGGGAGCAGCCCAGTCATCTGGGAGAGAGTGGGCATGATGGTAGGGACCATCTGGAAGGCATAGAGTGGCAGGGGCCCCTTGTGCAGATAGAGGGGTTTGCCTTGCCAAGGAGCAGGGCCATCTCTTCGTGTGAGGGATGTGAGGTGAGGAGGGAGAAGGGGAGCTCGTAGCAAATGGCCTCAGTCTTTTTTAGTGAAATGTGAGGGAAGGATGAGAAAGTGGAGGGAGGGGGAGCCGGGGAAGGTCTGAGAAGTGATCTGAAAGTTTGGAAAAGCTGATGTGGGAGTGGGGCGGTTAATCTGTTGGGGACATGTACAAGGATTGCCTTGCTCCAGTGAGGGCCTCGTTGAGATTATCTGACAAGTTTGTGGTGGCCCAGTCAGCATGGTTCTGTGATTTTCTCCAGCTGCGTTCAGCAGCAGATGATGGGAGTAGTCCAAGGCTGAGGCTTGGCAGGCAAGGGATTCACCAGAGGACAGTCAACGTAGGGCTGGACTGTTTGTAGCCAGGGCAGAGGTGATGGCGTGGGACAGCATTGAGGAGCACTTGAGGAATAGGGTAGAGGAGACGAGGCAGGAGGACAGGGGACGTGGCAAGAGACAAAGGACTTTGGGGGCTCATGAACATGGAACTGAGACACGATCAAGGCTGTGACCATTGTGCAGGGTGCAGCAGAGTGTGGGAAATGGGCAAGGGGAGGAATTGGGGGGTTCAGTTCTCTGAGAGAATCTCAGTATGTTGAAGTCCCCTCACATGAAGGCAAGAGTCAGGGAGAAAAAAGACTTGAGCCAGGCACTGAAACAGTGTCCCGGCAGTCGGTAGAATGCAGCCACCAGAGTCTCGACTGGTGATAAATAGGCTTTGAGTGAACCTCCAAGGAGCCACCATGGAGGGCAAGGAGCGAGCTCCCTGTCCTTGACCACTCGCTGGGGAGAACACCAGCCTTGTCCTGAAAGGAATGTTTATTTTGTGTTCTCTAAACCACACAGCAACCAAATAGGCCCAGTCAGACAGGCTGAGAGGCCTGGCAGTCTTTGTTGGCATGAACAAACCTTCGGAGGTGGGGTCCCCAGCTAGCCTTGTTGCTGCTCTGCTCTTCTCCTGTCCCCGCATCGCTCTCTGCAGCTGGTCTGTATGTGGTCTTAATAGCAAATTCCCAGTCATCAGCGCTCCCGTCTTCTTGGGGAGCCTGGGAAATGCGTGGCTTTACAGTAGAAGATTGAAGGGTGAAGCCCAGTCCTGGCTCAGATGGTGTCTTCCCTTCATCTCCACCCTTTCCATTAATGATTTCATGTAGTGGCAATTTGGTTTTTAAAGACTTTAGGGACCGCTGAGGGGAAAGGGAGTGGGGCTCCAACCTCAGGCGTCCTTGATGGACTTAATAGTCTGTGCCCATGTCTGCGTGCTAGGGGCAGTGGTCTGTGCTCCCCCTCATCTGGCATGGATGAAGCGGGCTTTCTTCAGCTCCCCTGGAGACAGTGAGGAGGAGGGAATGACAAGCTGTGAGGATTTATTTGGAGGGAGACCAGCCCATCCTAGGTCACAGTAAGGATTGGAGGGAGCGCCAGGCGACAAGCTGCCAGCCCTGATGCATCTTAACTGAGGGTTCATCAGCACAGTGTCTTTCCTTTGGACTGTCACGGTGTTTCTGAGTTTGGGTAGATTAAGCCAACATTTATTGAGTGATAGCAGGGTTTCTGAGACTGAAGTTGGGGAATGTGAAGTGGGAGGGGGCTGTGCCAGTCTCTGCGGTAGCATGGCTGGGGCAGGGCCAGCCACTGGGCCAAGGCGAAGGCTCCCGTTAACCATGTTTCTTGTTTCTTTTCTTTCCACAGAAAATCACCAACCGTGTTTTAGGGAGAAAAGTCCCCTGGGATTGACAAGCAAGATGATCTTTGAGTTCTTAAGTTTTATGTTGTTTTTCTCTTCAGTTCTAGACTTCTGCGTGGGTATTATGTGTGATGTGAACATGTAGCAGTTGAGTATGTGTTTTGTGTGTGTTTAATAAAAGTTATTTGATGTTTTTGTGCAGTTTAAAAATAATGACTTTGTAGGGAGTTGGGGCATCCCACATGCAGGTGGACGTGACTTTCTTTTGGGGGCCTTCTTCCGACATGACTGTTCTGAACCAATGGCTTCCTCTTTCAATTCCTCCCAGAAGCAGGGCTTCTTTTGCATATGTTTTTGTACTTTTAGAAAATAAATGAGTTTTGACTTAGAGCAAAGTAAGCAGCCTGGGCTTCTTTCTTTCCCAGATGGAAATGTCCAAGGGGCGCAAAGGTGTGTCCAGCAGCCAGGGCTTGCTCTGAAGGCTGGGGAGCTCTGCAGCCTTTGGACAGGGAATACTTAAGTTTCATAAGTGTTTGATCATTTGAGGAGGAGATGACAAGTATCCCCAAACCCCCCAAATCTAGCTCGTGTGTCTAGTGAGAGCCTTCTCTTGGGTGGGAAGGAAGACTGGACTAGATGGAAGCCCCAGGCAGAGCTCACCAGTGGCAGAACATGCAGCGAATCTTGCCAGGGAATGTTCCAGGCCGTTGTATGCTCCAGGGTGAGCCGGCTTGGTTTAGAAGGCTGAATGTCGAGGCCAGAGCTGGAGGGACCCTCCAGGGCCAACAGGAGCCGCCCCTTTGCCTCGAGCCCCGGTCCCAGTGCCTCCCACCCCAGAGAGAATGTCATCTCTGCGAGGGCAGGGACTTGTCCAACCTTTGTCTTCATGTTCCCGGCACCTGGTTCAGTGCCTTGAAAAACATAAAACTTCAAGCCCTTGGAATAAAGCCTTACGTCCTCAAGTGCCCAAGTCCCTCCTATGTGTTCTTTATATGCCTATTATCCGTCATGTATTATCTGCCTATTTATAGTATCTAACCTCTCATCCCTCTCCTGTAAGTTTTAACTTCCTAATTCAGTTGGACTGCGGCTGTTCTGGGAAGCACGCCCACCCTGAGCTTCTCTTCCCTCCCGGAGGGGCGTTGCGGGCTCACCAGGAGTTCTGCAGGAGAATGAGGGACAGAGCCGCAGTCACTCCAAGGTGACCCTGGGCACAGGTCACTGCCCTAAGGTATCTCGTGTGAAAGGAGGGCCTCGAGCCAAAAGCCCTTCGAGGGCCCTCGTGGCCCCGAGCCAGGGATTGCAGATGCGCCAAGTGAACAGCACAGGGCACAGCAGGCAGGTGTCCTAAGTGACTCCAGGCACCTGCCCACCAAGAGGAGCCCACCCCCAGCCTCCTTCCCTGCTTTCTGCAGTCTACCAAGAAACTACCAAGATTCTTTGGGGAATTGAGCAGCCCAAAGGGGCTGTGATGCAATATGGCCACCAGGTGGCGCCAGGCGCCAGCCACCTGCCAGAGGCATTCAGGAGGGGGCTTTAGGCCCACCAGCTGGTTTTACCAGGAGGCCCTTTTAGGGCCATTCTCCCTACTGCCCCAGGGGGCAGGCAGCACACTGCTGGCCCTGCTTCAGAGCAGTCAAGAAAAGAAAGCAGACAATTACTCTGAAACATTGACTTGGCCCCCGAAGCCCCCTCTGAAAAATCTCCCCTTCTTAGTCTAGTGACCTCCTTCATTAACAATGACAACAGCTAGTGCTGTGTGCCAGGCACTGTGCCAAATGCTCTATGAATATTGACTCATTGGATCTCCACGACAGCCTGGGCAGAGGGGCTGTTGCATTTGACGCTGGAGGAAACTGAAGCAAACTGGTGAACTGACTTGCCCGAGGTCGCACAGCTAGTGAACTCAGGTCTTCCCGACTCCAGGCGTGGGGCTCTGTGCGCTGTGGCCCTGCCTAGCTTCGTGTTACAATAAAAATACCACGGAGTATCTGTTAGGATAAGACTATTGTGGACGGTACTGATTAGTTAATTTTATTTCACCGGAGTTGGAAGACTCTGTACCAGTGTACATTTGTGCAAAAGGAATGAATCAATAGGAAAGTAGTGAGCCAAAGAGGAGTGTCGCCCAAAGGAGCCTTGCCCGGGCCTGGCAGGTGGCACAGCTCTCTGAGGGGAGCAGCACAGGCTGGCCAGAACAGATAGCGTCATAATCTGCGGCAGCTGAAGGAGCCGCAGCTGTCTTGAGGGTTCATAGCTGGACAGAGAGAAGTGCGGCCCCTTCAGCTTCCTTTTGCATGGGTCAGATAATGCTCTCCTCCTCTTCCCTTCCCTGAAATGAGTCTTCCTTTTCCTATGCAGCGGGAAAAGCCGACCGGAAGGGAAAGTGTTCCAGGGACAGCTGCGTGGTCTTTTTCGGGCCAGCCCCCAGGCTCCGCTGACCGAGCTCCCCAATCTTCTCCCCGTCTTCTTTGGGGCGTTCTTATTTATTTATTTTTGTTATTCTGTTCTTGACAAATGTACACTAAAGTCCAGAACAGAGGGATGGACACAAACCAACCGTGACTCTCTTATTTTATACAGCTTGCATTTAAAAAAAAAATATAATCGATTCAGTGTGTTTGTTCCCAAAGCTGGCTCACTTGTCTGTCTGCCTTCTGAACCTCCTCCCATTCTCTTCCGAGAATTCTCTTCCTATTCTATTCTTCTAAAAATATGCTACAGACTTTACTTTTTTGGCCTTCCTCTCACTAACTCCCTCTACCTCTCCAAAAAGCAAAGAACCTGCTATATTGTTAACAACCAAAGATATTTAAGCAAAACAAATCCACACATCTGCCAAATGAGAAAATGTCTGTGCTTGATCCTGCCTCCATAGGGGCAGGGACACCCTGTAACCTCAACCCATCGGGCTTTATCCCAATGATAAAAACTTGTCCCCTCCCCAGCTCCCACAAGGCTTCACCTTTTTGACTGCCTCTCACTCGGGCATGCTGGGCCACTGTATTCCCCTGTCTTCTCCAGGCACATCTGCTCATCTTGGGAATATTTGCTCCGGTCCCTTCACATACTAGCCTTTTATACCTAGGTCACCATCCTCCCTCACTCCCACTGGAAGGCTGCCAAGCTCTCTGTGCCGATAGCCCCTCAAACTCCACCTCCTCCATGAAGCCTTCCCAGGTTGGTCACTGAAATGCTGAAAACCCTTCCCACACCCATCCCCTCACACTTTTAAAAAATCTTTGCAGTGTGTTAAGGGCTTTTAATTGACTGAATTGCACCTTTCATGCATATTTCTTTTTTAAAATTTTCTTATTTATTTCTTTTTCTCTCATGAAATTTCATAGAATATTGTAGACTATGTCCAATTCTGTTTGTCATCCCCTTACAAGGCTTCTCACTTCATGAGACCAGGTACTGTTCCTTATTTATTGTTATTTTTTTTTAATTTAAAGTATGTTTTAGGTCTGGTTCTTTCTGTCTTGCTTGGGATGTAGCCATCACTCAGGGTGAGAAGTTACTCCCTCTGTTTTTGACCTGGGCCAGTTTGCCCTCCTTACACAGCCTGGTGGATCCCCTGACCCGTACTAGGACCCGCCATATTGGTGCCAGACTTAGCATGGCATTTGGCCCCCTGCAATTAACTGAGCACTCCTCAGCTCACAGCCTCAGCCTCGCCAGTAGCAGGGATTGTTATTATCACTCAATACTTATTGGTAGCCAACCAATAGCTTGCATTTATATTGTGTCTTAAAGTTTGCTAAGTGTTCTAGAGATGTCATCTCATCGAACTTTCCATCTCTCCCCAGCATAATGTTCTACACAGAGTACTGGTGCTTAATAAGTGTTGGATTAATTAAATATAGGTCTTGATTGTTGATTTGAGTTAGGGCCTGGACCTGGGATTTATCATTAGGTGAGGAAACTGCCAAAACAGGTCAGCACCTTCTCTGCTGGAGCATTGAGAGATTGAATGACTTACCCAGGGTCTCACAGTGTCTGAGGTGGTATTTGGCACATTGCTTCTCTTCTTCCTGCATTCAGAGGAAAGGCCCAGTAGTCCAGGTGAGAACCAGAGTGGGGTGATCCCAAGACTTCCAGCCTGAGGTGCCATGCCTGGGACGGGCAGCCTCCAGCTTGCTAGGCACTGCTTTTTGTCCTCGCCTACCCTCCCCATCTATAGTCCTTCACCTGCTGGTCTCTGGTTCAGGTAATAGATGAAAATCGTCAGGAAGAAGAGCAGGGCCACCATCAAGCTGGTGATGATCAGCTGGAGCTTCGTGGCTGCGGGGATCTCCAAGGCACGGATGGAAGAGGGATGGAGAGGGATGACCTTATGACTTGATTGAGCAAAAGGGCTGGGGGCTCCCTTCCTGGAGCCAGGTAGCTAAATAGGGTGAGAGTGTTGGATTTAGGCAGGGAAAGACGGTGCTACAGCTTTGGTCGATGAGCTCAGCCCTGTTAGAATGTAAGCTCCTTGGGGGTAGGGACTGTTTCCTTTCTGTCTTTGTACCTCCAGCATCTAGTAGTAATAGCCAGCATCCACATGGTTTTCAGGTGTGCAAAACACTTTATACATGTCCTCTCACTTAAGCCTCACAATTCTCTTCATTTTGCAGACGAAGAAACGAAGACAATTGAGGTTAAGCCCTTTGCCTAGGGTCACGCAGCTAAGTAAGAGTCTGAGGCAGGATATGAACCTTTCTGTCTCCGAGTCATTATGTTTTATCCGCTTTTCTCAGTAGCTACTTGAGTCATAGTAGGTGCTTAATAAATGGCTTATTGGTTGAGTAGATAACATTGTAAGCTCATTGAAGGCAGAGGCTGTCTTTTTCTTATTTGCATGCCCTGGGACACAGGAGGCACTTAATGCTTATTGATGGAGTGGGTGGAAATAAAATCAGAAGATTTTTGAATTGGAGGGTTCTTAGGAGAATGAGTCCTTCTCTTTGCTTTAGGGGAGAGAAGAAAGAGGAAAAAAGAGGAGAGTCATTCCAGTCTTTCCTCACACATCCACAGTTCCTTCCACATTCCTCAGAAGATCCTTAAACTCTGACCAGGGTGCTGCCAGCTGCCATTTCTTGCACACCAGAGGCTCTCTGAGAACTTGTGCCATTTTGGGAGCATGTGTGATGGTGGTGGTATGTGTGGGAAAATGGGAGCTGCTTTTCACTTTGGAGAGGGAGAGAGAGAAGGAGGCCACAGACAGATGTAGGTCTGGATTCATGCCCATCACCAGGCTTTCTGCACTAGGTATGTTGAGTTCAAATCCAGCCTCAGGCACTAGCTGTGTGACCCTGGGCAAGTCACTTAACTCTGCTTGCCTCAGTTTCTTCATCTGTAAAATGAGCTGGAGAAGGAAATGGCCAACCACTCCAGTATCTCTGCCAAGAAA